TCTTACAAATGATACAAAACGTATAATTACACTCCGCACAATGCGCCAAATTCGGTGTACTAAAGCAACATAAAACTGACATAATGACAAAATGACAAATTAATGACAAATGACAAAAATGACAAAAATAAAAATGACAAAAACAGCAACAAAAATAATAATACCTACAGTGAACTTCCTTTCGCCTGATCCTCGTCCAACAACACATGTGCTCCGCATGACATTCTCGGACATATCACTACGTCTTGCATTGTATCCAACCCATTAAACAGCAATATTTTCTCGTACCTGAAATTAATTCCAGGAATAAAAAATGATCAGCTATAACAACACTCCATGGGTGTGGCCTAACCACTCGCCCGGTCATTTTGCCAATGCGCAATATTCACTGTCATCGAAAAGCCACAAAAAAGAACACCTAGCCCTGCCCTTCCCCCTCTTCTCCAACTCCTCAAAAAAACCTGAAATTAAAATTAGGTACCATTCGATCTCGTCATCTGTCAGAACCGTTTTCAGCTGCTTCTCACTGGCCAGTGATTCACATTTCTGGTCGAGACACTCCAATCGCTTAATTGATAATTCTTTCAACTGATGACGATAGAACGCTGTCACACACTGCTTACAAAATATATGCCCACATGGGTAGAACTTCACACAGTCATCCCCACTCCTCGACTCGAAACACACCTAAAAATTGCAAAATTCATTTTTTTACAACCATAAAATTCACCTAAAAATGAAAATATTTCCCAGCCCTATTTCAAAATTACCTGAAAAAATTCAATCACTACCTCCTCCCCTCAAAAAAAATTCAAAACTTCAACCAGCCAACCTGAAATCACCAAAATTCTTTACAAACCTCACCTCACACTCAAAAAAGCCCCGTCTAAAGTCCTCCTCCTCAGCTCTCTCGGCAAACGCTTCAATCTCTCGATAGCGCACCTCATTTAGACACTCTTTACTCACGTTGTTCTGCAATAAAAATAATAATAATAATAATAATAATAATAATAATAATAATAACAATAAATAACAATTAAAATACCTCACCTGCTTACCGGATATACCACTTTCCAAGTGAACACAATCCAGATCGATGCATTCCGTTGCATCTAAAATATTTTTTGCCTCATCTTGAATTAAGTCTGTCCACAAGTATAGTATTGGCATCCCTCTGTTACTTGTCCACGACTCTTTAAGAGTCGATTCAATACCCGTTTTCTGAATTCATTTCAATTTTATTTTAGAGTTATCATTATTGTTATAAATAAATGACAAAAATACAAAAATATTTTAAGAAACCTGAAATGAGGTAAGCCATATGGATTCAATAGTGAACACCGGAGCTGAGCTTGATGGATAATCAGA